CTGTGTCTTATATTTAAATCCACATCACATCGTAAACCCTTTAACCACGGTAAAATCACTGTTATGTACGTAATTACGGAGGACCAGATTTGCCAAACTGAAAAATAAATAAAATGAAAAATAAGTGGCTCAGTGAATGAAGCAATAAACAAAAACAACTAAATAAAGTAGAAATTGCTTATTGTGATTGTTATTATACACATATTTCCTTTTTTATCAATGCCATTTTTATATATTTTTCTGTATCTATATTTTGAACAATTGTTTGTTTTATTCATTGATTCATGTATTAATTTATTTTTTTATTAATTCATTTATTTATTTCTGTATTTTCTGTATTAAGAGCTGATTAAACTGTTCTTTCACTCCATAAAGAGCTGCAGCATCGCGGACAGACAAACCTGCCAATAAACGACTTTCACTGGCTTCCACAGGCCGTGTGTGAGAAGGGCATCCAAATGTCTGGGTGATCTGAATTTTGCAGAAAAAGACCAAAAGATGAACCACCTCCTCCAAAGCTCTGAACACTACTGGTCGACCTCTGTATCAGCAGAGGTAGCTAAATGGACCAAACTGTCCCCACAGCCTCCAACGGAAGAGTCAATAATCTGGACCTGCATTTTCAGCCAGATCAGCCGAGACTCTCGGATCTCTGTCTGTCTGCTGCTGTAAGCAGCCACTTCCGTACTGTCTAGTCCTTAGTTACCGCTGAGAGAGCAAGACATGTACAATCAATCTACAGAATCTGATATCGATCAACCAATAGGATTATTCAGGCGCTGTGACATCATTGACTGGACATACAGAAGGACATACAGAAATAAATAAAAAAGAGAAGTAAATAAATATAGAAATTAATAGTTATGTAAATAAATGAATAGAAAAACAGAAAAAATGTTAATAAAGAAACATAAATAAAAAAAATACAAAAATTTGTGAGAAGCCGGAAATTACTAAATAGACATCAATAAATGCAGACATACTAAATTATATATAATTTTATGTTTTATGTATATTTATTTACTTTTAGATTTATCATCATTATTCTTTGCAACTCTACTTCATATATTAATTTACTAAGTCATTTATTTTTAATTTTATTTATTTATTTATCTGGTCCTCCATAAGTAATGCCTGCAGTTTCCTATCTGCATTAACAGCTGCTAGACAAGCTTCTCCATTCTATCATTACTGAACATGTGGATTTCTGACCTGTCTGTTCATGAACCATAATCTATTTGAATGCAGATACAGCCTATGATTAGCACAGCCATCCAGACTTAGACCGAATATAATTCAGGATTTAAGAGACTAATTACCAATATGAATAACCAAAATGTGACTTAAGCTCATAAAAAGGCACATATTCATTTATTATACTGTTAATAAATGAACGTGCAAAGCTGTGTTATTATGAAATGGATCTGAGAGTTCATTAAAATGGAAGGCTTCTAACATTGCATGAAAATGTACACTAAAATTATTAGTACTATGCAAACTGGCAGCTATTGGCCTTCATTCTTTTGGCCAAACCTTTAAGAATATAGGAATCGTAGATTACGTATACAAAAGCATCCAGACGTCCCTTCTAATGAGCGCATTCCTCAAGGACAACCCATCCAAAAGTTTAGCGAGGTGTCCCCAGGCGTGTATTCTCATTACGAGATCACATCTGGCCCTGCGAGACTAATTTATCCGTTGAATGTTTATCCTGAAAGCAGACGAAAGGTCTCAGTAATCTCATGATGTGCACCCTTTTGTAGAGTCTGATACTGAGATTACATCATGCACTTAAAAGAAATGTGACCAACTAAAACTGGACCACGTCGGTCTTTAAGGCATCAACAAATGCTTTATTCATAGGCCATGTTTCATGCATCTGACTGGCCTGAGGCACTTCAAAGACACTGATCTTCCAGGGCCACATAGTGCTGCATTCATTATCTACACATGAAACGCTTGAGGTTGGTTTCCCAGATGGGGATTAACTTGGTCTTATACTAAATTTTAATAACTATGTTGACTGACCACTATAAGTCCTTACTGGTTTAAGCTTATAGCACCTGGTCTGCTCTGCTATTGTTCAAATCACTGTCCTTTGAGCTTCAATCTCAAAAAGAGTAGATAGTAGTTCTTATGCTGTTAAATGGTGGCTATATTACGTTCTATAGGGAGCTCACACTTTTAAAAAAGGTGCTTTGAGGGTTCTTTACTAAAGAAAATGGTTCTATATAGACCATGAACACTCAAAGAACCAGCCCTTTTCATGATTACAGGGTTCTTTGCATCATGAAAGCGTTCTTCAAATTGATGGAAAATGTGCATGAATGTGCTACAGACGATTCTATGTAGAACCTTTTTGAAAAGGGTTCTATATAGAACCCAAACTGATTCTTCTATTGTTACAAGCTTGACATCGTAATAATAGAAGAACCCGTTTAAATCCTTTTCAATATAAAGCACATTCTCCATCAATCTAAAGAACCCTTTAATCTAATGCTTTACAGAGGCAGCTGAGGTTGAGGGAGGAATTTGCAGTTTTACTTGACGGCTACAATTCATGTTCTTCAATAAGGTGAGAACCAGACTCGTTATTAACCCAAATATTCTCAAATGAATTGAAAAGTGGGACATTCGCATCATTGATGGCACGTTTGAGTTCCGTGCTCGGTCCTGGTTAGCGATCACACTAGACTGTGTCTGAGCACAGTACAGCATGGTCACACCAGTCCAGGGGTCAGCAACACGTGGCTCTTCTACTGCCCTGTTGCTGCTCCACAGCAGAATTAGATTATTAGGTAAAAATAAAATAATCCTCCTTTACAGTAAAATAAAGCTCTGCTGATCGTTCAACACAGTTTTAACAATAAATGGTCTTAAATGCTGGAGTTAATGTAGAACTGCTAATTCACCCTTTAACCCTGATGGTTGGTGCACAGACTGCTGGTCACCATAGCAACGCAGACAAGAATCTCGCCTAGCTAGTAGCTAACGAAACGGCAAAGAGAAAGATTTAAGATGAACTTCAATAATTTGGAGATGAATGGACTTATTTGCATTTATAATCACTTCAGCTGGTTTCCTGATACGTTTAATCTGCGATGAGAAACTGTCAACCACTAAAAAGTCACGAAGCTGAAGTCCCTTCTCATTCGACAACTTCTCGTTCAAATTCTCCCGTTCCACCTTAAATGGTGCAGCAGTTACATTCTGGCACCTCAGGCGTCATTTAAGGTGGCACAGAAAATTCAAATAAGCCGGGGAACGAGAAGCGACTTCAGCCTCAAAAAAAGTTAAACTTAGAGGGACATTTTAGAAGAAACTATTCTACTTATGAAGAAAAGTTTCCTGTCAGAGATGCGAGAAAAGCAGCTATAGCTGAGCTAAAGCTTAAAGCAGAGCAAAGTAAATCTGCGACTTCGTTTATATAATTTTAGTCTGTACTAGTACATCAGCACTTACTGAGACATATTTACAGCCAAGATGGTAAAAGGGACATAAAATGTTGTGGCTCCCAAGATGGTTTGATTTTTGTTGAAAGGAAAAAAATGGCTCTTCTTAACATTTGGGTTGCTGCCCCCTGCACTGGTCAAATGAACTGGACTTTCGGGCACAGTACAAATGACGTAGCGTGAGTACACCCTGACTGCACACCAGCACAGTGGATCTACAAAGTAGGGGTCTACTAGGTTCTACTAAAGTGGCCAACGAGTATACAAAATAAGAATGTAAGATTTATTACTCTAAATGCTTCCTGGTGCATTCGGGCACAAACCATGTGTTAGGGGTGCCAAAGTCACCATCCAGCAGGACCACTATATTTGAATAAGTACTAATCATTTAAGAAACGCTGAAAAACATGATTGCGTTCCAGATTAACTCAGCATGCCTTTGTCAACCTTTGTGAGTGCAGAATTGGAGAGAAGCTTATCCAGATGCTGCATCACCACCAGGCCTAGGAAAGTGAACTATCCAAAAAATTAAAAAAATAAAATAAGAATTTTTTAAAAATTGGAACACGTACACAGCTCATGTTTGATAACACATGTTCCCCACAGATATTTATATATTGTGGGCTACAGTATCTTCTTGGCTTCTTGGCTGTGTGGTGCACCAGAGTTCTGAGGTTATTAACTCATATTGCCAGTCACACTACTTGTATCCTCATGATGTAAGCTTTTGGTTTATGTTGAAACTAGACCACTGAGATCCTGTACATGAGGCAAGTCTTTCTCCACAAAACCACCAAGCCAGGTTTTTTAAGGGGGTTAGTTGCAAAGATGGCCATAGAATTCTTGGGAATCTCTTATCACCAATCTATAGAGTCTACCCTGGTCTTACATGGTGTGTCTTGATCAAGAATGGGCACTCCATCATCTTGTCCTCAAATTAACCATGTTCAAGATACTCCTAAACGTAAGTTGAAACAACTCACTTGAAGGAGAATTCCACCAGTTTTTCAAAATCTCTGAATAATTCAGCCCTTGAGGTGTCATTCATTGTGGTTCTGAGTGACCCTTGGTTCCTATCACCACCACTGTAAAGAAATCAGAGCCTAAAGGTTTCTCTGCAATGAACTATATCACACCAAACCACTCTCAATGACTCTGTTTACATCTCAAACACTTAACTATCAGAGATTTTGAAATTTTGGTGGACTTCCCCTCTAAGCGAGCTGCTTATGTGTGCTCCTAGATTTTCAAAAGATATATAATTAACCTGATGTGCAACTTTCTTAGGCAGTAGCTATATGTCAGAGGATCGATACAGACTTGCCGTTATGGCACAAATTAGACCTGCAGCTTGGTTCTCACAGATGCAGAACCCGGTTCTCTCCTTCACTGAGCAGCTCCTCTCCAACACGAACTCAAAGCACTTCAGCTTCAGAGTGGAAGAGGCGGAGCTTTCACTTTGAGCCGGCTGCTGATTGGACATCTTTGTTCACGTCAACAGTATCGCGCATCTGATTGGCTGATTCATATGAAAAAGGGGACGGACTCTTTATGTGCAGCGGTCGGTTAAGTTAGCTCAGTTTGACTGAGTTTTAGGGAATATATTTTACATTTTGCCCGTTTTAGGGCGATTTACACGTTTTTAAATGCGACATACATGATTTTTATGTTTATACGAGAGTCCCTTTTGTCCTTTGTGAGGCTGTGTTTTAAATTATTCCACACCTTTTGAGTGGCGAATCGGCGGCGTTGTTGCTGTATCAGCCGGTAAGGAGCGAATTTTGAATTTTAGCAGTTACGTTAACGTTAACGGTAAGTTACACTGCAGGTATCGACAAAATATGTCAAAATGTCGAATTAAAATCTGAATAATAAGCGATTTAGTGTCAGTTATCGACACAAAAGAGATCTGGCAACCCGTGAATGTAAATGTGAGGAGTGTGGACAATATTTTATTTAATGTTGGCCGCTGAATGAACAGACTGAGCTGAACTTACGTTTATTTCGTACGTCTTAAAGTGTAATAAGTCCGTTAAATCCGATTTGTAGATAAATATCCCACCTTAATGCCAGTTTAAACGTAGTCTAAGTAACGTTATACCGTCACACGAAGCTGGTCAGCTTCTTATTCGCCAGCTTCTTGTTCGAATTCTCCCGTTCCACCTTAAATGGCGCAGCGGTTAACAGTTACTGCTGCGCCATTTAAGGTGGAACGGTAAAATTCGACTGGGAAGCCAACTTGAGCGTCGTTAGCTAACCTACCGTCGCTAAGTTAAGCTTTACGTATTGCTAAACATTTGCACCAACAAACTACTTGAGTTGGAAACGAACACTTTTCTCTGAAGGACTGAAAGGCCATAAAGCCAATTCTCTATCAGTATTTTGACATATTGCTACTGTCTGTGAATAACAATTTGCACATCATGTTAATTATTTATCTTTTAAAAGTCTACGACCGTCATAAATAGTTTAATTCCACCACATCTTTGAATAATTCAGTCCTTAAGATGTGAACAGAGTGGTCTGATGTGAAATGGTTCATTGTAGAGAAACTTACAGACTCAGATGTCTTTACAGTGGTGGTCATAGGAACCAGGCGTCTCAGTGTCTACAACACACATATAGCCTTTTTATTTACAATCCAAGACTATCAGTAAACCTACACGTGTCTTCTGAGCTTTTATATGTAATGTTGATGATGGTAAAACAGTGGTAAATCAAGGTTTTACTGGGGACTACTTGGCCCCTACATATGTCTTTACACCATTAATGCATGTTTAAAAGGTACATTGGAGTCCAAAAGTTTATCTCAGAACTATAATAGAACAATGTACTGGGCATCAGGCAGTGTATTCATAACCATTTCATTGTAATAACTTTCTGTGATGAAGCTTTCAGAGGCATTAAACTGTTCAGACCTGTCCTGTCACCACTACTGTGAACAATTCGGACTAGTTTCTCTAGAACAAAGCATTTCGTGTCAAACCACTATGAGTGACTTTCTTTACATCTGAACAGTTGACTAATGGGACAATTTAGAAAAATCTGAATTCCCTTTTAATGTTAGCTTACTAGCTGTGTGTAAACATAAGCATGGCACCTGCTAATGACACATTTTAATTGAAACGTTTAGATGCTCAAAAAAATACGTAAGACTAGTACCAAATTAAATACGTAATGTCTTAAGTTTAAAAGTCTTAACTGTTTTATCGAATACTTTTGTTTTTCCACTCCTTTTCGTAGTTGTTGTGTCCAGCTGAGTTTGTGTGTAGCCTGTTAAATGCAGCCATATTAGTTATTGAAAGGGAATTCCACTTAATTCCAACCAAAATATCTGAATAATTCAGTTCTTGAGATGTAAACAGAGTCGTTCAGAGTGGTATGATGTGAAATAGTCCATTGTAGAGAAACTTACTGACTGCTGATTTTATTTACTATCCAAAACCACTAGTGAACCTACACGTGTCTTTGTATGTAATGTTGATGGTGCTAAAATAGTCACAAATCTGGAAAAATAAGATTTCTTTGGGGACTGTTTTGACTTAGAACACCCTGCATGAACCTCTTCACCATTAATGGTTTAAGATAAATAGATTCAGATACATTTTAGCCCCTTCATCACAAAACTATCATAAAACACTGTGTCAGACAATAACTGCTTCATATAATATCTTTCTATGAGCTTTTAGAGGTGGACGTCTGGTTCCTATCACCACCTCTGTGAACATTTCTAACTGGGCAAGTTTCTTTAGAAAGGAGCGTTTCACACCAAACCACTCTGAATGACTTTGTTTACATCTTAACCATTTAATTATGTGGAGTTTTTGAAGGAAAAAAACAGTGGACTTTCCTTTAAGTTTCAAAAGTCTGAACCGCTTTATTGAAGACATTCGTTTCAGTGGCGATAGTATCCAGCTGAGTCTGTTCGTAGTAAATGCAGTCATGGTTGTTAATTTAGCTGCATTTCTTATTCTGTATCCCTAACTAACTTGGTAAGTTATACTAGATGTTTTATTCAGGAAATCATAGCTGTAATTCAAGTGAAAAGTTGCTTACTGTATATTGCATAAAAGTTTGGTTGAGAGATTTTCAAAATGGTCTTCCTGATTATTTTTTCTCTCTTTTTAATGACCTGGTTATAGATAAACAGGACTTCAGCATGGACAGCGTTGAGGCTGTAGGCAGCCGGACCCCGCTGGGCACCCTCACTCCATCCCAGCAGAACAGTGAAACTGATTTCTCAAAGCTCACCCCGTCTCACTTTGGCATATCAACAGACAGCTTTTTAACCTTCTCCAAGGAAAAAGGTGAGAAGTCACAGAATATTTTGTGTATCCAACCAGGCCAGATAAATTTGACAGTAGTGCTGGACGGTACGTTCTCTGTACTGCTATACCATGATATTGACGTACCATGACACTGCTTTCCAGTTTTAGCATTATGTTTTACTCTATTTTGGACGCTTTACTCATGAAATTCAGGCAGGATTAACTACAATATAAACTAGTGTTGAGAATTTGAGATTACTCTTTACAATAAATCAGTAAAACAAATGCTGAAGATTATGCAGTGAGTCTGTCATGATGCTATTACACTATATATTCAGATTTTAACTAAGAAGTAGGATGCTGTATAACACTGGCTGTGTCTACATGCAAAGATTTCTGCCAATCCGATTGAATACATTCCGATTATAGATTAAGACTGAGACTGAGGTGTTTATGCTCACTCTACTCAACAATCTGATGGAAAATCTCTATTTACATGCTCACTACAAGTAATCAGATTCAAAACTACTCGCATGCCTAGATCACCACTCAGTGTAGACAGTTCCATGACAACGAGCATCGCGTGAGTCCAGTCAGAGTGAGATGAGCAGCAGTGAGCAGTGCTTGTGTTTTTAATTGCTTTAAAATGATGTCAGACTCAGGAAAACGTCCTTCACATGTCCTTATTAAAGAAGGCCGAGAGGAAGACGTCGTGTTCTGAGACACATAAGCTGGACGTCCGTCCCACCGCCGTCTTTTAAAGATCAGAGCATAAACTTCGTCTCCTCTGCAGACCAGTTTCTGCTCCGCCATGTTGAGCGGTGTAAACTTTCACTATGACGTGACGAACATGATCAGAACGGACTTAAACTTTCCGATAGGGAATGTAATCAGATACAGGCATTTACACGGATATTATTCTTCTGTTTAACAGATTATTTACAGGATTACCCACTTTGTTCAATCGGACAAAAATTGTATTCCGAATAGCCTCAATCGGACTAGTCTTCTGATTGAGGTGTTTACTATTATGATTGAGCTATTAGTCAGACTATTACCGGATTATTAGGCTGCATGCAAATGTGGCTAGTGATAATCTTACGTATGTCCAGAACGAACAAGTGTAGATAATTCTGAAATGACTGAGAAAGCTGTACAACATTGAGAATTAAGTTATAATAAAATTAAATCAAATATCAAGGCAAGTAACCTAAGAAATTATTATGAGTAATTACAGTATATTATGCATCATTTTCAACTTTTTGTGTTGAAATATTGAATAAAACATCTTGAAAGACCCTCTGGTGTCTCGCTTATAGCATTTCAGTCTGCACTGTTGTTACTGAATAAAACAGCAATTATTAATATGAATTGTTTTTAAAAAAGTACAATATATTTATCTTCTGAAAATGTGCTTTCTGTCTCGTTGTCCTGTGTATTTTTACACTTACGTGTCATTTTAAGAGGAGAAACGGAACAAAACGGTCAATCAAAGCTGTGTCAGGTTTGTGAGAGCTTCTCTTAGCTACAGTTACAGTATTTAGAAAACACAATTACTAACTTTTCTTAATTCAGACTTAAATCTTGATTGATATCTATTGATAAATAGGGTGATTATTGTGTTTTTTTCAACATTGTTCACTAATACTTGTCAGAGTTGTGAAAACGATTTGGCTACTGTAGCACTTTGTTTTTTCTCTCTCAGATAAATCCAGAGTAGCACAACTAAAAGCAAGACGGCGGTCCACTATCGGACTAAGGGGGTCACCTGAAACTAATTCCCTGATCTGCTTCAGAGCCAAGGCGGCCATGAAAACACCGCCGCGGACACCACAGGTGTGTATTCATCACTGTCGGCTTGTAATTACTCTTCATTTTTTTGATTTTCTTTCATAATTACAATCAGATACTAGATCCCTGCTAATGCGAAACCGTTTACATATGCAGTCTAAATTCGCTGTCAAAACAGGACGTGTTGATTTTGATCTTCTTGTCCTTGTGCAGAACATTCTGGCGAGCCCGCTGTTTACAGGCTGTGACTCCATAAAGCAGAAGATGGCCGCCTTCCAACGGCTGATGGGAGATGATGAGGAGAATTCAGAACAATCTGCTTCGCTGATGACGAAGGAGAAGCAGGGAGAGGGAGGCGTGGGAGGCAGTTTGTCAAAAGACGTCCAGTCTGGTCAGTTTTTAAACAAACAAGCTTGAATCTGATGTTCCATTAAATGGCTGATGTCACTGTCTGGGGGCCAGGCTAATTGTGTCCCAGTCCTGCCAGGCTTTTGTTACTCTGTGACTTTGTGAAATGGAGTCTAAGGTTATAGTAACCACTGCAGCTCTTTTGATTTACATCACAAAGATTAAGAGCTATTCATTTCAACAGCAGTTGTTATTCTCTCCTTTTCGTACATCAGTGACGAAACACAGCCCCTATACAGAAATAATCCCACCGCCACCCCCCAGATTTAACGTTCATGTTTGCCCACATTTGGCTGTGTTTTCCAGATTTTTTCAGTCATGGTGGTTGACCCTTCATAGCTGCTAGTGTTGTCATGAGTATGTGGTGTCCTCAAACACGTGGTGGCCAGTGTAGTATCTTGTGCACAGAATTATTTTTAAAATACACTATAGATGTGAATACAGCACCTTATACGTTCTCTAAACATTAATGTTCAAGAAGCATAATTGTGATTGATTGAAGTTCATTTATAGTCAGTTAATTTGTTTACAAAGTACACCGATCAGACATAACATTATGACCGCCTCCTTGTTTCTACGCTCATTGTCCATTTTATCAGCTCTACTTACTATATAGGTGCACTTTGTAGTTCTACAGTTACAGACTGTAGTCCATCTGTTTCTCTGCATACTTTGTTAGCCCCCTTTTACCCTGTTCTTCAGTGGTCAGGACCCCCATGGACCCTCACAGAGCAGGTACTATTTGGGTGGTGGATCATTCTCAGCCCTGCAGTAACACTGATGTGGTGGTGGTGTGTTAGTGTGTGTTGTGCTGGTCTGAGTGGATCAGACACAGCAGTGCTGCTGGAGTTTTTGAACACCTCAGTGTCACTGCTGGACTGAGAATAGTCCACCAACCAAAAATATCCAGCCAACAGCGTCCTGTGACCACTGATGAAGGACTAGAGGATGACCAACACAAACTGTGCAGCAGCAGATGAGCTATCGTCTCTCACTTTACATCTACAAGGTGGACCGACAAGGTAGGAGTGTCTAATAGAGTGGACAGTGAGTGGACACAGAATTGAAGAGGTTCAGGGACAACAGAGGTCCATTAGCACTTCCTGAAAGAAGCCAGGAATGTGGCCAACAGTCTGACACACAGACTAGCCAGTTAGTGCTAGATTGATATTAAATCTTATCAAAGATCTTATCACTGTGTTTTCCAAATCCAAAAACTCCAGCAGCACTGCTGTGTCTGATCTACTCAGACCAGCACAACACACACTAACACACCACTACCACGTCAGTGTTACTGCAGTGCTGAGAATGATCCACCACCCAAATAGCACCTGCTCTGTGAGGGTCCATGGGGGTCCTGACCACTGAAGAACAGGGTAAAAGGGGGCTGACAAAGTATGCAGAGAAACAGATGGACTACAGTCTGTAACTGTAGAACTACAAAGTGCACCTATATAGTAAGTGGAGCTGATAAAATGAACAATGAGTGTAGAAACAAGGAGGTGGTCATAATGTTATGCCTGATCGGTGTATATGACTGAATGAATGGGTCGAATAATAATTTGCATATTTCCAATAAAAAAAATACAAGAGTAGTGTTTAATAGTTCCTTAAAAAATAGTGTTTTACATTGTACAACCAACTGAGTACTGTTTGGACTGTCATGTCCAGTTTTATTATAGGGGAAAAGCTGGTCCGCCCGTTGTCTGAGCTTGGCTAAGCACGCATTTTTCAAATTATTGACTTTTTGCAAAACATTAGAAAATGCAAATTTGTGCATGAAAGTAAATGTTTTAAAAGGGTTTCATCATGTTAGGCCAATCAGAACAAGCTCTCTGCCATTTTTCCACATCACCCTAAATTTATTTGTTGGATATAAATGAGCCAATTACACTTTTCTGCATATTGACAAAATAATTCTGTTTGGACTGTCAGATCTATAAGAAAGCCTAGATCATAAGGCCTTGTGAAAAATGCTATAGGTAGTTGATTACTTATGTCTGCAAACATTCAGCAGGGAAAGCTCTCACTGGTTTTAGGCATTAATAAAACTGCAAAGGTGAAACTTTAACTTTAACTTTTAACTACTTTTACTACAACACAGATTTAAATAAAACTGAAACCGCCCAAGACTTACATCTCTGATTGCATAAAAGACGGTTTCAATTAAATTCTGGGATTAAAACCTACTGTGACTAGATACTAAAAGACTACGCTGCTCCTTCGGCACATACCAGCTCTCTTCTGCCACACACTAGCCACGTATACACTCAGACTGATACTCCATTAATAATCCGACTAATAGCCCGATCTAAAGAGATTATATCCAAGTATACACCACAGTTGGCACAGACTAGTAATTTTAAAGCATTTAAAAACACAAGCGTGCCAGCTGAAAACTCAAGTAACTCACTGCTGCTCTTCTCACTCTGACTGGCCTCGCAAGATGCTTGTTGTCATGGTAACGTGGTAACGTCTGCACCTAAGTGATGCTCCACGCATGCATGTGATTTTGGATCTGATTACTTGCAGTGAGCATGTAAACGGAGACTTTCATCAGATTGTTGAGCACAGTGAGTATAAACACCTCTGATTTAATCTATAATCTGGACGAATTTAATCTGTTTGGCGAAAATCTTTGCTTGTAAACATAGTCTTTGATTGGATCTGTGCTGTATTGGGATCTGAATTTAGTGTGTCTTTAAATTTGAAAATAGATTAACCTAAAAAATTATAGATTTTGTTCAACATTGAGCAAATACCACATAAAAGCAGAACGCTAGGATAAAAACCTTTAGCCTGCCAGTTATCCTAATATCTGTATCTCATCCAAGCTGGCGGTCACACGAGTTCGGCCACTCAGTTTTATTGCTGGGGGAAACGTGTTCTCTGAGCTTGCCTAAGCACGCATTTTAAAATTAAAAGTCTTTTGGTCAGATGGGACTTGACTTTTTGCAAAACATTAGAAAATGCAAATTTGTGCGTGAAAGTAAAACATTTTAATGAATTTTATCATGTTAGGCCAATCGGAACAAGTTCTCTGCCATTATTCCCACATCATACTAAAATTATTTGTTGGATATAAATGGATATTATATAAATAAACTTATGAATTTTGTATGTATGTGCAGGTACTGAAAACTGTTCAGAAGAGAGGCAGGATCGTATAACCCCAAGCAGACGCTGCCCTACTGCAACACCACCTCCATCTAAGAAACGCCGCAGGGTCCCGCTTGGCTTGTGTGAGGAAGAAATTCAGGAAGAACCATTTTCTGAGCTCCAGAATATGCCGACGCAGGAGCCAGGGGTCAGTACATTATAACTGTTTTGTTTTACCTGGACAATTTGCATTGCATAAGCAAACATTTTGGTAATCCTGGGAACTGTCTATACTTCTATACTATGCTCATTCTAAATCATTTGAAACCTTCAAGCAGAATGAATCAGTCGCTCCGCTCTAAATCGAAATTTTAAAACCCGTGTTGGCTCATGATGTCAGAAATATTTATATATTCAGTGCAAACTGACAGCTTGACAAAGCAAAATAAGATAAATTCCACTCCCGGACATTACACACTTATGTCTGTGCGCGGCTCAGCTTTGTCTCAGCTTATCCAACTGCTGCTGTGAATTTGTACTACAATTTTGAAACTTCTGTTCCACAAGATTACATTTTAAGGTAGGAAAGAGAACAAAACAACTAGCTGCGTCAGGTTTGTAAGACATTATTTTACCACAGAGTAGCAGGACACGTGTATTCCTTATGAATTCTGTTAAATATTTGATACCATGATATATTTGGAAAACACAGTGATATTAAATCTTATCAAAGATCTTATCAATCTAGCACTAATTGGCTAGTCTATGTGTCAGACTGTTGGCCACATTCCTGGCTTCTTTCAGGAAGTGCTAATGGACCTCTGTTGTCCCTGAACCTCTTCAATTCTGTGGGGCAATTTTATTCGTTTTAAAACTCAGGACTCAGAACTGGCTTTCTCTCTAACCTATTGGTAACCAGCAAAGATACTTTCTCTGGATAGACAAAGCACTTTTTGTAAGTCGCTCTGGATAAGAGCGTCTGCTAAATGCTGTAAATGTAAATGTAAAAATGGACTATGTTAGTTCTTGGTGACCAAGCAGTGTGTGGTCTCTCTGTATACAGCAATGAAATTTAATAGACAAGCATGCATTTCCCACCACAGGACACAATGCAGATGCAAACATAAGAAAAATATCAGTGAGTGTGTTTGCATGCACTCAATAGTCTGATCATAATCGTATTTCTTCAGTTATCTGGTTATTCAAATGGTCATGTAAACAGCACACTCTGATTTCTTAGTTTGGAATTAGGTCTAGAAACGATTAAGAAATCCGATAAAGAGAGCTGGATTTTAGCTCAGTAATCAGATTTCTCAGTACATGTGAACTCTTACTCTGATCTCTTTCGGATTTCTCAGTCTGAGCATGTGCGAAAACAGACTGTGGTACTGGAAATAAGCGAGCAGCGTCGCCGCGAGACGCAGCAAAACACTTTTGGAGCGACACTGAAACCAAATACATTCTTGACGAAATGAAAGATTTAAATATTCTTCATCTTCTAGAAGATGTATGTTCATATTTTCAGGTAAAGTGGCGCAATGTTTTTTAAAAAAAGCTGCGGCATGAAATTTGAGTTTTACGTTACGTTTACGTCACACCTTTTTCTGTGAGTTTATTGGCTGATTGCAAAGCAGAGGTCTGATTACTGCCCGACTCATGTCGACCCAGAGTTTCCCCATTATCTGATTACTCAAGTGCATGTAAACTTGTTGATCAGATTACTGACAAAATCTGATTTTCTGCAGTTGGATTATTAAGTGCATGTAAACGCACTCATTCTGTGGACATTACCATCTCTCATGTGCCCTTTCAGTACAGCCCTTTTCATCATTTCTGTCCACAGAAATATCTCTCAAGAGCAAAAAGAAAAAATTTTAAGCACCCTTTTGTTTCGCAACATCAAATTTGCTTTTAGGAGGAGTCTTTCAAACTCATGAGAATGCAGCTGGGCCTCCTTTGAAAAGCTCTGTTTTTATCTCGCTTGGTGGCTGTCTGCCTTGAATGTGCACTTTTATTTTCTAATCAGCTCTGGCCTGAAACCCCATAATAAGAACAAAGCTGTGTTCTGTGCTGTTAAGCGTAGATGTTTCACGTCTAATTTGCAATAAATTATAATTGTCTGAAACACGGCAGGATAGCGTTTAAGTAAAGCATGTTGAAAGCTAGCTTTCAAACGAAATAACCTCTGAAAGCGTGAAAGCTAGTGACAGTAACACCCCAATATCCTGTCCTGCAGCTGAAATTAAAAGGTCTCTTATTTAAACCTCCTTGGAGGCCCCTTCAAGTCTGAACTAATGTGCTGAAAATATATTAATTAGAAAGCTATTTGAGGTGATGGAGACTAATGGTAACCAGTCATTAAAAGTCCCTCCTGCTGTATCTCATTTCATTTCATTTTGCCCTGAGTATGGCTTGAATAGAAGTTACAGACTGTTGAAAAGCAGTGCTTTTTGAATTGTGTTACAAGGTGGCTAAGCAACCATATTGTGATTAAATTGCTACCTAATGTGGTTCTGGTTCTGGAGAGCTGTGTTTTGTACCAGCTGAATTACTTCGGTCCTATAAAGTATCAAAAAATGTCTTTTATTACCAATTTTAGTCTGCCTGTTTGTTCTAGACTGGTGATTGACTGTTTTAAATTACATTTCACATGCATGTTATTAACTTCAGAGCTTCTTGAGTAGTCTTGATTGGTCTGTTGTCAATAAACCCACTTCTGGTACCTCACACTCATTTGAAGTTTAAACCTCACCCACTTTCTTTTTGCAATTTTAAAGATTGTATAGAAAAAAAAAAAGTATTTTTCAGGAGTCAGTCTCATAGTCAAGACATTCATGTCGAGCTCATCACAATACTTGAAGACATTTTTACTGTACCAGGGGTCAGCAACATGCCGCATGTGGCTCTTTTACTGCCTTGTTGCGGCTCCACAGCAGAATTAGATTTGTAGGTAAAAATAAAATAATCCTCCTTTACAGTAAAATAAAGCTCTGCTGATCGGTCAACACAGTTTTAACAATAAATGGTCCTAAATGCTGGAGTTAATGTAGAACTGCTAATTCACCGACCTTAAGCCCTGAAGATTGCCACGCAGACTGCTGGTCACCATAGCAGCGCAGACAACAGTCTTGCCCGGCTAGTAGCTAACGAAACGGCAAAGAAAAAGATTTAAGACGAACTCCGATAATTTTGGGGCTAAGTTGGAACAGAGCACAACCAGTCAGCTACTTGTGACAGTAGTGTATGCAGTTAATATACGCTGGTTATAAGCTCTATATGATTGGTCTTTTTTTAATGACCCATTCAGTTCAGTGCTCCAGAAGATCCTCAGAAAAGATACAGAAGACACTAAAAAAATGATTTTACTGTAATTTATCATAATTATGATAACACTCATTTCCCACCCCAGCTCTGCAGTATAATGTCCTTCCAGAACTTGAATTCTGTTCTAACCTACATTTCCACTGCTGTTGTTTGTGTTTGCTGGATCAGGTTGTTTTTTGTAATGTGTGTTGTTGGGTTTATTTCCCCCACACTTGTAGGTGTTCAAAAGCCTGGAGCTGAAACTGGGGCTGGGTTCTGACTCGCAGTCTCAGCTTATGTCTTTCCCCATGCTGTCAAAGCCTGAGGTTATCAGAACAGGTGAGGGAGTGCAGACACTCAGTCAGAGCTGATTGCTCTTTCTTTCTTTCTTTTTTCCCCCTCTCCTTTGACTTATATAAGGATATTCAGGTATTTCAGTTAAGTGCTAATATGCACCAGTTTATCATGTCTGAGCATAATGAGTAAATCCTTTTCCTCCCACCTACCCCTTTTTTGCAGATAACAGAATATCAGTTTATTAATTTTTACAGATACTTAAAAAATTAGGATACACATCCTCGTGTCTGACCCTCATAAAATATATTCATTTTTTCATTTAGACCCTATGTGTCAAACACAAGGCCTATTGAAACAGTCCTATTCGGCACGCAAAGTTATTTTAATTTTCTTTTCTTAGTAGCCCGTTTCACCCTAAGATGGACAGTCCCCAGCGTCCACCGCAACATAGTGTGCGTTCTGAACCCTCCCCACCGCCCAACAACAATCTATGGGCCAGCAGTTACACATAAAAAAAGGATGCCTGGTGTTTAGTTCAAGCAAGTTTTTAAAAAGGCCATTTAAAAAAAAAAAAAAACATTTTTTTTTTTATTTACAGTTATTTTTAAGTAAGTATTGAGTGCCTGTCTTGCTGTCACAGTTTTGATTTATTTTGAATAAACGATCATCCATTTGGGTCATGGCAAAATTTGAAGTTAAAATAAAATTTAAAAACACAGCTGGCCCACGGATTTGCTGAGATTTTTTAATATGAACCTTTTAGTGGTTGAGTTTGACATCCCTGCTTTAGACATATATAGAGATGTCTTCTCTCTGGTCGCTAAACCTTTTTATTGCTGATCTGTGATGATTCACAACGTCGCTAATATTTTATAACGGAGTGTCAGGTTTATTTATTTTTCATTACATTACAGCCCTTAAACAGTTTTTCTGTCCTTGCAGATGACTTTGAGGTTTCTTCCGTGTCCAAGAAGAAGCGTGTTCGTTTCGGTGCACCCCTGTCTCCTGAGTTTTTTGACAAGACCCTTCCTCCCAGCACCCCACTACAGAAAGGAGCCACCCCTGTTCGCCCCCCATCCTCAACAGGACGCAAATCACTTCTTAAAACGCCCCAAAGATTCGACCCCCCTCTCCCACAGCCAGACTTCAACAGCCCAAGAAATAATGGAGCCTCTCCTGTCCTCTCTGTGTCCAGAAGATGCAGGTCTAGACAGGTGGAGAGTGATGATGTGTTCCTGGACAGTGAAAAGGTTTGTTGTTTATTGGATCTTTCTAAATGAATGACACTGCTGTTGTCCTACCCATCAACTAAACAAAATAGACGTGTAAAGAGTTTAAACAGGTGTATGGTATGAAGATCAGAGTACACTGACGGGACAAACACGAACATGCAGTTGTTTGCAGTTGTGCTTAGAATTTAAGAAAACGAACTTAAAAGTGAAATAAACGAGTGAATGGGAAGAGAACCTTCTAGAGTCCTTCAACAATCAAACTAATTTACATTTACAGCATTTAGCCGACGCAATACAACACATTTCAGTAAGTGTAGTACAATACGTTTTAATAAGTACTTAAGTAACTAAGTGCTCACTTAAGTGTTGTAAGAAGAGATGCGTCTTCAGTCTGCGTTTAAAGACCACGAGAGACTCTGCTGTTCGGACAGCCAGTGGGAGTTCGTTCCACCACCTGGGTGCCAGCACAGAGAAAGTCTTGATGCTTGTCCTCCACGCGTTTTGAAGGATGGCGGGTCAAGCCGAGCTGTGCTTAAAGGGCTCGAGGTATGGTTCGAATTTTGACCATTGCCATTAAGTAGGGAGGAACTGGTCCGTTTTTGGCTTTGTAGGCATCACGGTTTGTAGGCATCATGCATGCAGCTACAGGAAACCAGTGAAGGGGGGCGCAGCAGTGGAGTGAAGTGACTGAACGTAGGAAGGCTCAAGACGAGCTGTGCTGCTGCATTCTGGATGAGTTGCGGGAGTTTGATGGCCTGTATAGGAAGACCAGCCAAGAGAGAGTTGCAGTAGTCAAGCCTTGAGATGACAAGAGCCTGAACTAGCACCTGGGTGGCCTCTTGAGTGAGGAATGGTCAAATCCTCTGGATGTTGTACAGGAGAAACCTGACCGAGTCAGGTTCACAATATGAGCTGAGAGGTGTGGCACACAGGCTAAATGTTTGTTTGTCCTGGTGGTGTATTCTGACCCTAACAGTGCTTATACACCAGTCTTGACAGTCAGAAAGAAGTAATTGAATAGGAAAGAACATTCTAGAAGTGTTTTGAAAGGAGGGAAAGCATTCTTGAAACATTCTGAAGGAGTGATATCTTTCTTGAACAATTTGGTTTAAACTCATAGCTAGACCATTAAAAGCCATAGAAGATGACATGGGCTTGAAATTTACATAGAAAAGTTTAAGATAAACAGAAAAGTTATAATTGCCACCTCTGCTAATGTTCCTAGCATAGTCGTTCAGGCACAAACAATGAGTAAAGAGTTTGCAGTTTACAAATATGATTTAATTTATAAATGATAAGTTTTATTCCATTACATTTATGAGGAGAATGTGAAAATGAGCTTGAGGTTGACGTTTATCAGTGCTCTTATTGCATCACATTCTACGTAGTGTAGCTGCGGTTTGTACTGTATACGCAACGCACCGCGTCTGGTGTGCACTGGCCTATTGCTCAAACAAATGATCATCATCTGGGGCAGTAGAGCGGTCAACTATATCATGATTCAAAATCAGTAGTGAAGTACCATGTGTAAGCATTACAGAGCCTTACCCTACAGCTTGTATTTTCCCTCATAGTTCCATATGAAATTACTATATAATTACCAACTGGGCTAACTTTTAATATTACATCATTTATAATGGTAACTGTATTCTGCACAGATGGCAGCATCAAGTTAACATCAAGTGGTTCTCCACATTCATTAGACTAGATTAGACTAGGTTGCTTTGGCACCCTTCTTCTAGACAAACTCATCCATTCATACTCTCTCCAGTGATGTTCAGTATTTGAATGTTGTTAGTTAGTTGGTGTTCTGGTTGTAGCACATAATTAAGAGCAGACTTATCTGTACATTTTTGACCTAACAAAGGGAATGGTTAATCGAAGTGGAAGCAATAAAAATAGAAGTAGTGTTGTGTGTGAAATTAAAAGAAAGAACAAGAATTTGCATAATACCAGCACAATAATCATAATATTTAACATCAACCCAAGACACACCAACCCAGTGTTCAGGTTTATAAGTGTGGGGTGTTGAATGTTGGGTTGGTGCTCTGGGTTTTTTCACTACATACCGCATCAGTGAAGATGAAGGATTGAAACATTCAACACTAAATACAATACAATACAATAGTGGGAGATATTTGGAGTACAAGTATGAAATATTGAGTAGATCTAAATAGTCTAGTGAGTGTATGATTAACTACAGAACATGACATAGATATTCATGGTCAATGGGCTGTGAGCATGTCCCTTCATATTTCAGCCTTTATAATGTCTTTGTGAAAACTTAATCTATCAGTTCATCTGCCCTCAGATCACTTTCCCCATTATGGAAGACGAATTTGATAACCCACCAGATGACAGCAAAGGTAATTTGTTAAACTGTTTTTAAAAGATTTATAAATGTGGGTCAGAGACAGCCATTTCACATGTTGGGTATGATTGATCATTGTAATAAAGTTTATACTCCAGTACAGAGTTCTCACTGAAATATCAGAGTAGGACAATCTAATAGAAACAGTTATAAGTGATGAAATTGATTACAGTGCAGTAACGAATTACATATTAACTGTACACTGTGGAAAAATCTCATTATATTAATGTGACAATCCTTCTACTAGTCAATGATAATGTGATAAATCATACAGAAACTTTTTGCTGAGTCTCCTGTCTGCTGATTTTTTTTTTTTCCTACAGACACTGCCTTGGCTGAAGGCCCCGAGCTGACACTGCACCATGAACCACCAACTGCAGGCACTGAACTTATGAACACTGGTTTCCGAGAGGAAGAGGATCTGTTCCCTTTTACCGCTGATCATTCTGTAGCTCTCCCAGGTGACTATATGGCAAAATGCCACTCTGCAATTATTGCAATAGACATATGCATTGTAGTATATGGAAAAACATATTGGTGAACCTTTAAGTGGCAAGGATAAAGATTGGTCTGCTGTATTTTCACCAAACTTATTTACGTCTGTATGTTTGGTCATGATGCTCACAGCACACAGTGAATTAGTAATTTATTAGATGGCTTATTTTCGTATTTTAAGCACTGACGATATCACTATTGCGAGGGCCAATATTGGAAGAAGGATTACCAAACTATGTATTTTGCAGCCCTACAGGTGTTATTTCATTTGTACAGTAAACATGGTGGAGTGGGAGAGGCATTGGTTGGGTTTCTGTTCAACTGTTTGTCTTCTGGTTTGAAAAACAAAAGAAAGAAAAAGAAAATCCTCCAGTTCCAAAACCTGTAGCTGTCTGCTAATCTCCTTCCGGCCTGTAAATAGAATATCTTTTTAAAATAATTCTATACCTAATAAACAAGAAGAGTAGACAAAACGAATTAGGCTGGGTTAAGAATATAACCTTAGGGGAACACTGTTCTGGCTGGCTAACATTACAGAAATCTGATCTGTCTGTAAGAATCCGTTAATGCAGCGAAACAATATTACTGATATTTTGACAGTCCACAAAATGGCAAATGTAAAAATGGCCCCCAGTTGTGTGGTACTACACAGAGCTTTGCGAAATGTCCCAAAAATTCTTAGGAAGTGTTGGTGCAGGAGACAGCAACCAAAATGTTAAAAAGAGCCATTTTGTCCTTTCAGCAAAAATCAAACCACCTTGGGAGCCACAAACTTTTATGTCCATTTTACTATCTTGGCTGTAAATATGTCTCAGTATGTGCTATGTTAATGTTGGTGTAATGAAATGTAAGGCTAACAATTTAATATAAACGAAAACACAGACTTACTTTGCTCTGCTTTAGCTCGGCTATATCCACTTTTCCCGCATCTCCAGCAGGAAACTTTTCCAAAAGTGGAATAATGTAAAATGTCTCTCATCGTTCGATTATTTATTATATATATATATATATATATATATATATATATATATATATATACATTTTTTTAAATTAATTTATTTATTTTACGAGGCTGAAGTCAGCTTCTCATTCGCCAGCTTCTTTTCCAAATTTTCCCGTTACACCTTAAATGGTGCAGCAGGCACAATTTAACATTCAAATGAGAAGTTGACTTCAGCTTTGTGACTTTTTAGCGTTTTGACAATTTCTCGTTGCAGATTAAACATATCGGTTCCTCTCCAAATTATCAGTGCTTGTCTTAAATCTTTTTTTTTGCCTTTTTTCTTTAGCTACTAGCTGGCTGAGATTGTCTGCATTGGTATGTGACTAGCAGCCTGCGCGCTGATCTTCAGGGTTAAATGATGAATTAACAGTTGTACATTAACTCCAGTGTTTAAGACCATTTATTGTTAAAACTGTTAGAACAATCCGTAAAAGGATTATTTTATTTTTGACTAAAAATCTAAGCGTTTACACGTCCTGATCTATATCTCAAACAAACCTGGTCCACATTTTAATCGCATGCGCTTGACTGACTTTAATCATGAGAACTTGACTGTCGAACTGTGCCTAATAAAATCAGTAATTTATATTGAAAGTTTTATTCCTCTAAATCGATACGAGGAGTGTTTTAAACTGGGCTGTGATGCTTCTTTTGTGATATACTTGCTCTTTGTACTTTCTGCTACCCAGTGCAAAAGACCCTCTGCTGATGCAGCACAGCGCCTCTCATCCAGATAAGGAGCTAAAGATAAGATGCAGGTTCTACACTGCCCTCTAATGGTTCAGATTTCTCATAGTTCTTCAGTATGAGGATGCATAGCATTAGAGAGAAGCTAATCTGCATATCAGAATTCTTGTTCGTGATTGTTTGAATGTCTGAATTCATACTCTAGATGGAAGTGTATACTGTGTGGCCTCATGCCTCTTGACTCTTGAGTTCTGTATTCATTCCTTGTGTTTATATCTTTTATAATCATTTATATCTTGGTTTTAGCCAGGTTAGCTAAGACGCAGTTAACATCAATAGATCTCCCTTGGTCCAGCAAATCCTACAGCTGCTGCTGGAAATACAAAAACTGTTGTTTACAACTCTGAGACTCTGGTTAGTTTGATGAGTTGGAGCAAAGGTGATACTAATGGGGGCCACCATGGAATAGCATTGATCTAGTGTTCTGCCTCTCCACCTCTTGTCTAATTTGGTCTACAAGGAAAAGGGATTAATGTTTCCTAATCTGGGCAGGAGTACTGCACCATTGTATGTTCTCCTGCTCTTGCATGCCTAAATCAACTCCTTGGCGAATTGTGAAGACGGTTCTGAGCCAAATTGAGTGTGTTGGGGAAGGGACAACATCAAATTGTGCTGCACTGGGCAGCTCCAGAGCCAGGACTGGAAAACACTGGTTTAAATGATGCTTCTGCATTGGGCTGATTTTCTCTGTATAGTATACGTGATGAGCTGGTTTTGAGCTAGTGTCAGAAGGTGAAGGACTGAATCAGGTGTTTTGTTTACAGCAGAAGTAGAGGCAGAGGCTGAGCCTGACCTTGAGCTACCAGAAAGTCAACAAGAACAACAGCCGGAGTCTCCTGCGTCCACGGTTGAAGCGCCTCGCTCTCGCGGCAGAAAGAGAAAGGTACTGAACTGAATTGCTCCTGTGCACCCTGTACAGGGCACGTCTACATCCATTTATCGTAGCACTCTGTATTGAGATCCTGAGAACAAACTGAGTGGGTAGGTCTTGGTCTTTTGTACTGATCTCCATTATCGTACATGCAAACTTGTCGCCTTTTAGCTACAACATTCACCCCGTTCTGAATAATGAACGTGCCATTTACATGAACCATGTAGATCTGAGTTTGCAGTTTTGGGAAGTGATGTGAGGTCTGCTGCCAGCAGAGAATTCTAGGAGAAAATCCTTCCTCTCCCCCAAACAGCACAGCAACAGTTCAGTCATTAATTCAGCCAACCCACACACACAGAGTATTTAATTTTTATGGGCCAATCACAGCCAAGATAATATTACCAAAACCTGAAAAGGGGTTTCTTTAGCGGTGAAGTTATTTTTAAACATTCTATTTGCTTTTTTTTAGTAGCTTTCAAATGGTGGAATATATGTAAATTATCATTATTAGCAACCGAGACAGTCATCGTTAACTCTGAAATTGGTGTAGAACACATAACACAGATTGGCATAAAATCATGTAACTCCTATGAAAGCTGAGTGACCATACACATAACACAAGTGGCGATCATCGGGGTCCAAGCATTATGTGTAGTTATGGAGCAAGTAGAACAAAAGATGGGACTTTTAGAATGATCTTTATTTGATTATAATACTAGTTTGGGTCTCAAAATTCCATATACATTTGCCGTTTGACCTTGGTATGGTAAGCAAGAAATTTTAATAAAAAAGTCAAAATGCTATACGATAAAAACTACAGTTTTTGGACATTACTTGTACTTGCAAAGTTGTTTAACTCAATGAACAAAAAAAAATATCCGTAGTTACCCTTGTATTTAATCTTAGAGTGGATCGGTCACCTTTTTCACTGCTCATAAGTTTTTGCACGTCTGTATTATTGAAATCTGGTCAGCTGGTGCCAAAGTAGTCAGCTAAACCGCTTCATTCTGTTGGAGGGGTCTTTCAGGTACATCTCTTTTGCTTTGTTAAAGAGTTAAATGACCAGCAGGGAACTTTTATTCAGTCATGATTTAACCCCTTAAAAAGGCCAGGGTCTGCCGGCGTGCCCAAAGTTTTATTACACAATTCCATAACCTAAGAATAGCTCCCCCTGTTTGCATTAAAGTGTCCGTAGTTACTGAATAATACGCCTTAGTATGTAATAAGGGCTTATAATGGTTTATTAAATGCTAAGCCTTATTATTCAGTAACTACAGGGACTTCAGTGCAAACTGTCTAAGCTTATAGATTTGTGTAATAAACTTTGGGCACGCCGGCGGACCCTGGCCTTTTTAAGGGGGTAATATCTAGTCCACGTATTGAGTGTTTGTGTTCCTTCTTCATAATTTCCATGCAGCACATCAGACTCACGTGATTCCACTGTGAAATTGTGCTCAATCCAGACACCTCTGTAAAGCTTACAATGGCTAAAATTGTTTAGTTAATAAAAAAATCTCTTGACTGCGTTTCAGCAACCAGCAGAGAGAGAGAACCAGACCGAGACCAAGAGGAGCTCTCGCACAGCTGCAGCGTCTGACAAAGGGAAGATGAAGGTATAGTGCTTGACTCGTCCTTTTGATCATCCCTTTATCCTTCACTCTGCGTTTAATGAGCCGTAGAGCTCAATGCAGTGGAAATGTTTTGCACAGTGTGAAAAAGAGAGGTATTGCACTGACCTGCTGCTGTGAACCCTATACAAGGTACTTCTAAAACAAATTGTCATCTTGCAGCACTCTGCATGTGTCAGGGTAGCCGTGGAGAACTTGTAAACAAATGCTGAGAACACCTTCTTGCCTTTTGTATTGATTTGAGATCAGTTTTGATCTCTTTCATTTTGTAAGTGAATAGTGTTTGGATATGGAAAGCTGATCTTGGATTCTCAAAAATGGGCCTTGATTTCTGTGCAACTATTTTTTTTTTGTAGTGGTGCCAATATAGTCAAATAAATCGTTGCATTTTGTTGAAGTGGGAGTACATTTCAAACACCTCAGTGCTTTGTAGCCTGACAGTTAAATAACCACCCTGAGGTGTTTTATTGAGTTTGCCACCACCTTATTTTTTGTGCTGCCCATCAGGTTCACTCCTCTTGACTCCACTGTGAAATTTTGCTACCCCTGCAAAACTCACAGCTGAAGTTATCCAGATAAGTGTTCATTGCAACCTGTGTCTGTGTTCCAGCAACCAGCAGAGAACGAGACAGAGATCAGGAGGAGCTCTCGCACAGCTGCAGCGTCTGCCAAAGGGAAGATGAAGGTATAGTGCTTTGATGCTCCACTTGTCCTTTTAATCATCCCTTTATCCTTCATACTGTGTTTAATGAGCTGTAGAGCTCAATGCAGTGGAAATGTTTTTGACTGAGTGCCCTAAATAAACTGCAGTGCGTCTTCAGTGCTTTGTTGGCATATAGACCTTGTGACTATGTAGGTGTGTATGCAAAAAAATTGAATACCTCTGGTCAAATTACATACACATCCTCTACCGGGAACGAAATTAAATATGACATTCATCCTATTAATTTACTGAGTTTAAAAACATTTTTTTAAGTACTTCAAATTCAGCAAATAAACAGTAATTGTGCATAGAAATGTGTTCTCTGTAGAGGGTGTGTTTGATTTTCACAAAATCAAAAAACACGTAATTTGACCGGCGGTGCCCAAACTTTTGCATATGACTGTGTTGGGCTGTATCCATTGATGTATATAACATTTGAGCTTGTATTACGACTTTCTGATGTTTTGAGGTGTTTCACAAACTCCAGACACTGAAATGTGGAATAAAAAGAACTGAAGGCTTTGATCCAGCCAGAGGGCATATTGTCAGTGATAACTTGAGGGTTTTGTTTTGTCTGTAGACGACTGCAGCGAAGAAGCGGTTTGGGAGCAAGGAAGTCGACCGGTCGCTCTACGGGAAGAGAGATTATGCTTCCAAAAACCCTTTACTCAGCCCCATTCCCGAGTCTGCAGCCTCCAGCTTAAAAAACACCCCAACACATCCCCATCCAGGCAAGCTGTGCAGTTCAAAAGTCATGATTCAGTTCTACTTATCACAGCTGTTGCACTTAATGCCTTCTTTAACCATAACATTCTTGATTCAGAGCTGCTGAAAGTGTAAGATTGATTTTAGCAGAAAATGTAGGTTCATCTGTAAAAACTTCTCATGTTTGTCCTGACACTATCTTATACCTTGCGCTTATACACCGATCAGGCATAACATCATGTCCACCTCCTTGTTTCTACGCTCATTGTCTATTTTATCAGCTCCACTTACTATATAGGTGCACTTTGTAGTTCTACAGTTACAGACTGTAGTCCATCTGTTTCTCTGCATACTTTGTTAGCCCCCTTTTACCCTGTTCTTCAGTGGTCAGGACCCCCATGGACCCTCTCAGAGCAGGTACTGTTTGGTTGGTGGATCATTCTCAGCACTGCAGTGACACTGACGTGGTGGTGGTGTGTTAGTGTGTGTTGCGCTGGTCTGAGTGGATCAGACACAGCAGTGCTGCTGGAGTTTTTAAACACCTCAGTGTCACTGCTGGACTGAGAATAGTCCACCAACCAAAAATATTCAGCCAACAGTGTCCTGTGGGCAGCGTCCTGTGACCACTGATGAAGGACTATGCTGAATGATCCACCACCCAAATAGTACCTGGTCATGATGTTGTGCCTGATCGGTGTGTATTGCATTAGTATCTTATACCTTGCACTTTTATAAATGGCACTAGGGTAATAGCTAAAAGATGTCACATTATTAATTCTAGAACTTGCAAACTAAAGTGGAAAATATGTTTGTATGCTCTCTGACTCAAAGGTAAAGGTGATACTGGGTTTTTTCCCCCCTCGAAATAAACATTTTCAACGATTTTCTTGGCTCAACACACCTGATCAGCTTATGAAGGACTCTGTAATCAGTTGATAAACTGGATCAGGTGTGTTGAGTCAAACAACACTTGACACCAAGCAGGGCTGTGCGTCGCAAAGAGCGGGGTTAAAGGGGAAGTCCTCCATCAAAATGTTTGTGTAATTAAATCATGAAAAGGTAAACAAAGTAATTCGGAGAGGTTTAAAATGCTCCATTTCCAAGAAAATTGCAGAATCAGAATTGTTTACAGTGGTAGTGACAGGAAGTGTTTAATACCTCTTTCACAGAAAGATGCTACATTAAATGGTTGTAATTATTCTGCCTAATGCCTGAGATGTTTTTACAATAGTTTTGAGAGAAGATTTTGGCCTATAGGGTTTTTTTAAATTCGTTCATGGCGTAGAGGTATATGCAGGGCTTTGTAGGGCAAAAAAAAAAAATCCCCAAAAAAGGAGTATTTCGTAAGGTTTACCACTATTTAACTATCACCATTACATTATAATAATATAGAAATGTATGGGTTCACTGGTCATTTGGCTAGCAAATACTGTAATTTGTGTTGTAGACACTGAAACACCCTGGTTCTCATCACCACCACTATGAAGAAATCTGAGTATCAGTTTTTCTACAATTATTTGTTTCACAACAAACGTGGAAATTTGAACAAATTGGTGGAATTGCCCTTTGAGATACTGGTCTGTGGTAGTTGATCATATATATTATATGATATAGCTGCTGTACATATATATTAGGTTGAAAAACACAGGAGCAGGGGCGCCCAATCCTGGTCCTGGAGATCTGCCACCCTACAGAGTATAGCTCCAACCCTAATCTACCTGATCCAGGTAAAGAAGAATATTAGAGCCACATGTAATGAAGATGGTAGATTTCCAGGACCAAGGATTCCAGGATTCCTGCTCTGGAGTATTCCTTTAATTCCACATCTTATTTCTCTACTTCACCATTGAACATGCATGAAGTAACAGTTGCTCTCATTGTCCACAGATGCAAAGTCAGACTCCAGTCAAACTACAGCTCCCAACAGTCCCCACAGAAAGACTGATTCCTCTGATGCAACAGCTGATCTGTTGGCTGCAGCTGCCCGGTGGCGCCAGCGCTTCTTACAGCAACCCAGTAGGAGCAGCTCTGCCACTGAGGTTGAACACGCAACTGTTGAAGACGATTCAGCCAGCGAATTAGAAGCTGATCCAGCATCTGCGGATGCATCTGGTAATACAGCAGCAGACACAGGTAGGGCCAGTTCAGGTACTAAGGCTCCTAGAGCCAGACGAAGCTCCGGCAGGCCTGCGGGTCGTCGCCGTAGTGGGAATACTGCAAGGGCAAAAAGGCTCAGCAGCGCTCATGAGTCCGAAACGGAGGGAGCAATAGACGAAGAGCAAACTGGACAAACCAGAGACACAGCAGGACCTCCGACTGAGTCTGCAGTTGGAGATCAGACGAGGCACGAAAACAGTCAGTCAGAATCTTCTGAGACTTTGGTCAGGTGTGAATCTGTCCAAGAAGAAGATAACGGTCATCCTGTTACTGCAGAACACAGTGGAGACTCAGCTATTGATGGGAAATTGCACCGGTACAAAGATGAGGAGCCTGAGCTGGCGGCTCCAAATGGAAGGAAGCAGGCTCGGAAAAGCCCTCGTGTAAAATCTACTGCTGTGACGGACGTAATGGAGGAGGAAGAACCATGTCAGCATCCATTAGAGACAAACCTGTCAGGAGACGAGAAAGAAGAAGGCAAAGGAGGCCAGGAGCTGACCGAATCTTCATTGGCAGGGGGAGAGAGCGAGTTTAGCTCAGTGGAGACATTGGGAGGTCAAAACGAACCTGTCTTAGAGCCCTGGCAGCAGGCCAATTTCAATATCGAAGACATCCTGAGGCCTGTGGTTAAGAGCCGGAAGTCAGTACGTCGCAGCCTCAGAAACCGCAGGAGCATGGACGTCCAGGCCAGCGGACTAGCCTGGGTGGACCACACGTCCCCAGAGCTAATCACAGCCAGTCGCAGGAGGACACGCAGCAGACTGAGCGCCGTGTCCCAACCCCCTACCTTTCTAGACACTGAGGAAGCACAAGCAAACCAGGGAGAATAACACGCTCAGGACTGTAAGGCAGTTTTATAACCATGTAAAATCTTTTGTAAAGGTAATTTTTATTTGGCTTTTTAAGTGGCTGTTAGATCATAATGGCATAGTTATTTTGAACTGAAAACAACTTGTTCTGCTAATCAATAAATGGCCTGTTAATTGAAAAATCACTTTTCTTATACAATATGCAGTTTACTGGAGTTTTTCTGCTTATTAAATCTTCTGTAAATCTGCTTGTGGAGGTATGGTCTTTACACACCACTCATTTCATCTAGATTGTGGAAAACTCTATAAACTGTGTTTTTATATAGGCCTACCACACACACACACACACACACACACACACACACACAATACACTGACTGGCTACGCCATTAAGTACACGTCCTTGTATTTACACTCATTGTCCATTTTATCAGTTCCACTGACCTTTATAGGTGCACTTTGTAGTTCTACAGTAGTCCATCTGTTTCTCTGCATACTCTGCTACCCTGTTCTTCAATTGTCAGGACCCCCACAGAGCAGGCATTATTTGGTTGGTGGATCATTCTCAGCACTGCAGTGACACTGAGGTGGTGTGTTAGTGTGTGTTGTGCTGGTCTGAGTGGATCAGACACAGCAGTGCTGCAGGAGTTTTTAAACACTGTGTCCACTCACTGTCCACTGTAATGTAAAGTCAGACAATAGCTCATCTGCTGCTGTACAGTTTGTGTTGGTCAACCTCTAGTCTTTCATCAGTGGTCACAGGACGCTGCCCACAGGACGCTGTTGTCTGGATATTTTTGGTTGGTGGACTATTCTCAGTCCAGCAGTGACACTGAGGTGTTTAAAAACTCCAGCAGCACTGCTGTGTCTGATCCACTCAGACCAGCACGTCAGTGTCACTGCAGGGCTGAGAATGACCCACCGCCCAAATAATACCTGCTCTGTGGTGGTCCTGAACATTGAAGAACAGGGTAACAAAGTATGCAGAGAAACAGATGGACTACAGTCTGTAACTGTAGAACTACAAAGTGCACCTATATAGTAAGTGGAGCTGATAAAATGGACAGAGTGTAGATACAAAGAGGTGGACTTGAAGTGGCCAGTCGATCATTGCATATTATAGACAATATAAACTAGAGTTTCTCACTCTCTCTCTACCTACCTCTCTCTCTCTCTCTCCCCCTCTCTCTCTTTACTAGATATTGTAAACTGTAAATCGATAAACTGCATGTTTTATGTGTGAACTAGGAATGATGAACTAAAGATTTGCTGCATTTATCGGGGAAAAAATAAAACATAAAATATGACCTGTGCAAAGTTATGGCACATCTTATGTCTAATTTGTTGCCAGTATGTTAAACTCAGCAAATAAATACAAATTGTGCTCTAAAACATGCAGAAAAATACCATATTTAAGTGTCTGTAGAGGATGTGTTCGCTTATTCTCCCTTAGAAAATCAGTAAAACATGGAATTTGAAAAAGGGTGTTTGAACTTTAGCCTATGACTAAAATCTCTATAGTAGATATTATAAACACTATGAATCTCTCTATCTATCTATCTATCTTTCTATATATATATATATATATACACACACACACACTGGATATTACAAACTCTTAGATATTGTATGTACTAAATATACTATATTCTGTAAGCTAGATATTAAATATACTGAATGTTATAAATTCTGTAAACGAGATGCAGGTTTGTTCATAAGACACACTATATATGTGTACATGTATACAGTACAAATGTTTAGTAAGCCAAAAAAAAATGTTTAAAGCTATATATTTTGCTGGTAGTTGTGTTTTTGCCAGTAAAATGATATAAAGCATTCAAAAAATACCATAAACGGTATTCATAAAAAGCTAAATAAGTGAATAATTGAGTAATTTGAGGCGCCAGTCAGGATTTATTCCAAATTATAGCCAAATTATGAAGTACAGCAGCAGCAGTCTTACTGAAATGAATAATATTTGCAGTGCTCATTGTTAATCAGCTCACAGCTGATCTTGGGGCAGGTACTGTCTTTAAATTTCAACGAATTTGGCTTGGAAATCAGGCCAGAGGGGGAAAGGCTTGTTAAGAAGCAAATAGTCAATGGCTTTGCTTAATAATATTCATTTACTGCTTTCATTAATCTATGACAATCTTTTCATTAGCTTTATTTAATTAAAAGTCAATCAGCTGCTTTAAAGGAACAGAATTGAAATGGTGGTTAATGTCTTGTTCTAACCAACAGAGGGTGCTCAAAGTCTTCAGTCCAGAGCACTGGTTCAGTCCCAGTACTGTCTGCACAGCTGGAACCAGAGCCACACTCGTGTAATAGTAGCGTGATTCTATGGAAATGTCTGTTTTTGTGTCCTTAGCGTTTACAGATATATTACACTTGAAAAACATGTTCAGGCTACAATTTATTTATATTTTAAAATAAAACAATAAGTTAACATTTACACCTTCTTGAGCCTCAACTTCGCAATATTGGTTTTTAAATCAGTCTTATAGAATTCCAAGCACCACAGAAGAGCTCGCCCTCACAGTCATATATAAATGGCCATATTTAGAGGTAAAAAAAAAAACATGTTTTTCTGTAATTTTAACTGCAATAATCTATAAATGCCAAATAAATATTCTAAAATATATCATGAAAGTTGTGGTCCCCAGGAGTTGTGTCACTGGTGTTACCGCATAACAAAAAATCTCTTATTTTGAAATAAAAGTCACACTGATGACATCACTTGACTTCCTTTTACCTGTTTTCTGAGGATCTATGAAGAAAAGCACATGTTGAGTCCACTGAGTCTTTCAGTTATCAGAGATTTTCTCATTTAGCTCATGATTTCATATGAAGCTTTTAGTTGAAGTCACTGGTGTGACCGACTTTATTCTGAGGTAATTATAAAAAAATAAAATAGAATACAAATGGATTAAATTACATATTTTGGTGGATATTCCCTGATTGACAACATGTGGTTTGATGCTCTGTAGCAGCCATTTTATAAAATGCATTTTTCATCAAAAATGTCTCTGGTGTTACCTTTCTTATGTGTAACACCAGTGAAGATAGGTAACACCAATGACACGCGACACCTATGGAGAGATAGAAAAGTGGACGTATCTGTAGAACGACCCAAATACAGAAGTAGCTGGTTAAAAAAACCCTTAAACCTACATTTACTATGTTGCCATGTCATGTAATGTCCTGTAGGACAGTATTAAATCCATCAGCCTCATTAGTTTGATAGAGCCCACGATTTTGTGTTCTTTTTGTATTTTTCACCCGTTAGTGTTCTTTCACTACAGTACCCAGCATGCCTTACACAAATACATTATTCAACCATTGGTAATCCCCACTGATGGACCATTGATGTAGAAGCTAACAAACACAGAAGTGATATTTGGCTTCTTAGCAGTAACATTTGCTATGTGGCCTCTTGCTGTATTTGCCTGCCCCCGTGTGTTAACGTCCAGGTGCTTATAGTTGTAGATCCCCCACCTTCAAGATACATCATCAGAAGGGGGGTTTCCAAGTCTTCAAAGTGGAAAATCTCACTTTTAAAACTACAGCTGCACCAGCGTAGGAGGTGATTAACCATGTTCACAACAGATGTAGTGATGAGTAAAGGTTACGGTTCAGCTATAGTTCTCTTTTTAGTGCTGAGTGTCTAATAGAACTGCTGAAGCACATCCAGCATCTATCAGCCCAGGAGCTGAGGTTTTAAAGGCTCTGTTCTCTTTTTGGGTCCTTTTGGTCTAAAATAAATCTCTAAAGCTCCATAGTGAGAGGTGTGAGGGGAAACAAAGGAATGAAATCAAACACAGAAAAGAATTAGGAACTAAATGTTGATTAAAATGTACCTGAGGGGAAAGTAGATGAACGTCCTCACTGATATATTCGACAAGGAGCAAAAGTAGCTCTTCAAAATTGATCAAATTTCCACTGGAGTAACTGAAACTGAGTAAACGTCATGTCCCATATGGACAAAATATATGGGTATATATTTTAATATATTTGAAATATTCAAACACATTGCAGCCCAGGCCGAAATAAATTCCAAACACTGAAATGCATTTCAGAATATTTTGCCATATTACCCAAATATATTTTGAAATACATTTGTTTTAAAATGTAAGGATATATCACATACAGAAATGTACCATACAAAAATAAATGTATGTAAATGTATTTAAAAATGTGTGAAAATAGTTAAAATCCTGTCCAATGCACTTCACTGTTTTATACCTTTAGAAATGAATTTGTAATTCAGCATCTTAAGTTTAAATATTAGCAAATTAACCTTTATTCATTTATTCATATTGATACTCTGTGAAAATGCAGTTATGATTTGATATCTTGTTTATTTGAAATACATCGTGAGTGTCTTACCGCATACGCACACGGTTAATGCAAAGAGCAATGCAGATCACAGAAGTCAGTACCTTTTAGTTACATCTGTAACTTTTCTTAAAACTTAATACAAAAAATATTTAACAAATACATTTTTTGGCCATTTTCATACATTGTAAAAATATATCTGATAAATACATTTGGAATATAGTTTTGTTTTTTCCATATGGGGTCTGATTCAGCTAGTGAAGGGTTTAATAATTAGCTATAAGGTGCAGTCTGGTGTGTATGAAGAGAGGAATCCTTTTACAGAGCATGACTGAGAACAGCTGGTTGGTTCTGGCTTCAAATCAGATCACGTTTATTGTCGCGTTACATTTACAGGTGCGAAGGTGAGTGAAAATCTTAGGTGCGTAGCTCCCTTGTAGTACTTAAGTATACTAAATATGTATATGTGTGTGTTTCCTGCCTTCCACCCTTTGACTGCTGGGATAGGCTCCAGCACCCCCCACAACCCAGAAGGATAAGTGGCTTAGAAGAAGACAAATATATATCATAACAAAACCTTGTATATGTATATATTCCCGATCATACAAGATAGAAGATGTACAATCAGTCCATATGTGCAGGTATAGATTTGCTAGATAAAGTTACGGTAAGATCAGAGTCTGTTTGAGGTGTAGTGGCAGTGTGGATTGTCCATGGAGATCATGATGATGGTGATTCAGGATTTTCTGTTTGTGGAATTATTGCCTGAATGTAAATAGCAAACATGCTTTATATAGCATTTTAGTGCAGCAGCAAAGTTCAGGTTGCGTGTATTTGAATGTAATGTGTACAGTATGTGTTTTAACAGGCTTATACGTTCAGCTCATTGAGTTCTCAAGGACGATT